GTAATGTTTCTAACATATAAAGTGAGAAAAAAACCAATGCTCTATGTGAGTACATAATTCACCAAAGAGGAAATAAAAATGAGCAATATAGATTAGAAAAAAAGTTTAACCTCATAACTGTTTAAAGAAATGCAAATTAAAGTAGAGTACCGTGTTCTAACTATCCAATTAGTAAACTTTTAAAACTGTGAATACCTAGCTCTGGTGACAGGTAGTGAAAACGTGTACTCAAATAAGGGGTCTACAATGATACAACCTCCTGGGTATGAGCCAGAAATTTTACTTTGAGGAATTTTTCCTGAGGAAATTATCCAAAACATGAAGGCTTATGAATAATGACATTCATAGCAGCATTATTGACAATAAAAAATCTTGAGGGGTGGTTGCATCCTTACCAGAATAACCATCACCATCAATGTTAACCCAGCATCCACCTTGAGCCAGGAAATGCTGTCCACTCAGCCCCTTGACAAGCTTCGATGTCGAGCCTGCTATCATCCCCGTTCTACAGAACAGATTGCCTTGGTCACACCCGTCCCAGGGAGCGGTGGAGATGGACGATTCCATCCTTGCTCTGTCCACTTCAGGACATCTTCTGAGCAGTTAGAAACAACAACAATCATGAGAGTGTTTTTAACAAAGTAGGGACATGTTTACTATATGATGTTAAATGAAAAAGGAGGCTCCAGAATCACTCCATGACTTTAAGTGGAAAGAGTATAAAATTGCTGCAAAATGCAGCATGCAGAGAAAGAAGGAATCTGAGAAGGAAGGGGTTGGAGGAGAGAAGGTGAACAGAGAGGCCACGGAGGCAGTGCAGGCACAAGGGGTGAGGGGTGGGGAGTAGGGGACTGCTTCTGGCTCCTGGGGACATTGCTGCCATTACACAGGGCCTTGACTGGCCTTCCCTGGGCTCCTGGGGGACCCTGGACCACACAGAGACCACCATTCAGCGTGGTCTGTGAAGGGATGAGGGGTCTGCAGGACCCTGGGACCCTGTCAACCAGGGCTCCCTGGCTCCCACTCTCCCACTCGCTGGGGAAGGTAAAGCAACAGTGCCCTCCAGTTTTGACAAACAGCCAGCGGCACCCACTCTGTTGAACAGGACTGAAGTCAGATGAGCTGTGAAGGTCAAGGGAGCCAGAGAAGGTGTCTCAGGGATCTGGAGGGCACTCAGGAATGGCAGCAGAAGACCTGGGATTGGCAATGGCCTCACCTCCAATCTTGCAGCCTCCACAGTAGAGGGTGAAAGTAAGGCAAAAAAGGCCAATTCACTAGCCTGAACTGTGATTTCACAGGCTGTTTGTCAAAGGTGCTCTGCACATCAGCACAGGCGCCCACGCCCCTCCCACGCGGAGCACCTCAGGCCTCCAGAGCAGGGCCCAGTGACGCCGGAGACCCGCCCTGCCTCTCTGACCACTGACTTTCGCCAAGAAAGGGCACCAGGCAGTGATCTGTGCTCAGAGGCTCCACAAACATCTGCTGCATGGAAGGAAAACATCCTTAACTGTTTCAAAGCCGAAAGATAGAAGGAACATTGTTTTCCACTTCCTCTGAAATGAAATTTGTTAACTAGGAGCTTCCCAAACCCCAATCCCCAGGAATCTGGAGTCTAAATTTAGATTGTCCTTGGAAGGTCACTGGATCACCCTGGTGCAGGGTCAGCCAGCAGCTGCTCAAGATAAGCTTTGCTTTTCTGCTGACTCAGGCCTTTCCCTCATACAGTTAACGAGATCCTGCCGCACTTCCCCTGGGAAAGAGAACAATAGCTGTAGACGAGCAGGTGGCCCTGGCCAGCACGCGGCCCGCGAGCCCCTCGCCAGAGATCAGGGATTCACGTCCCTGCCCAGGCCTGGACCCTACTGACGCGGGCCAGCAGGCCCTAGCCCACCGAGTCACCCAGCCTTGCCAGCTTCTGTCTGCCCCTGGGACACTGAGCCCCTTCCCATCTCGGGGCTCTTACATGGTAATTCTTCCCTGGATCTTGGCTGAACTGTCAGCTCCTCAGAGAGGCCTTCATCACTCTGCGTCACACCGCTGTCTCTTTTCCCTGAAGCCATGAGCACACCTGAAACAGCCCTACCTAGTTGCTCGTTGAAAGGTTTACTGTCAGTTCCTTGAGGCAGGGTCTCCCGGGGCTGTGTGCTCTGCTCAGAGACAGTGCTTGGCATCCAGTAGGTGGTCAGGAGATCCTAAGGGCGGATGCATCCTTATGCCCCTCCTGGGTCTGTGCTGGGCCACTCTGAGGCCACTACTGATCAGGGTTTGTAGGGGGCAGTGTCAGCCCTCTCTGGGCCTCTCTGGCGGCTCGGATTCCACTGTGGGCCAGGGCCACACCAACACAGGGTATCAGGGTAGAAATCAGATTGTGATTAGTGGAGCCTGAGGCTCCTTCACCAGGTCCCCAAGATACTGTGAGGCTGTCCCCAAAGAGATGTGGGCCAACCTGGGGGTGCCAGGCTGGGGGCGTTTCTAGGATGGACCCAAAGTGGTGGGAGAAAGGGAGGGCAGCTGGGCAGGCGAAGGGAGAGAGCCCCGTGCTGGCTACAGCCTCAAGCTGGCTGGAGAGGGCGGCAGGCAGCCAGAGGTCAGCCGTGGATCACAGGCAGTCGCCCCCTGGACAGATGCATGAAGATGGCCACTGTGTTGAGGCTCATTCCTGGACACTTGCAAGGAAAACCAACGAGCAGATGGACAGTTCCAGTTTGGGCCTCAGGGAGCAAGGCTGGCAGACAAGGGCAGAGAGGTGTCCCAGAGGACGTGACCTCAGCAACACAACTTAGAAGATGAGCAGGCCCCCGCCCAAGGGACCTGCACTGCAAACAGAAGAGACCATGGGTGAAAGACAGACCAGTCTGAGGGCCCAGAGGGAGGCAAGTCTGGATGGAGCATGGAGTGTGTGCTGCTGGACTAGCCAGACCCAACACCCCCCGGGGGCCATGCCTAGGAGTCAAAGCTTTGTTCACGGGAAGTATGAGCCACAAGGGTTTCAGGCAGAGTGTGACCCAGGAGAGGGGCCAGGATGGCCCAGCTGCCCTGAGGAGAACAGCCCAAGTGGGCAAGGGCGGGCCCGGATGGCCTGAGGACGCCACAGCAGTCTCCTTGGAAGACGGCAATGCGGTGTAGTGGGAGGACCCCAGGCAAGGTCCCTGGACTTGGCCCACGGGGAGTGGGATTGAAAGGGTGGGGTGGCTAGGGTGGGTGGGCCCCCTGGAGTGGACAGAGGGAGGAGAGAGGAAGGTCTACAGAGTGGAGGGAAGTGGTCCACGGGCAAGAAGGAAGCAGCGAGTAAGGTGGTGGCTGGGAGGAGACAGTGGTCCTCAGATCCCCACCCTGTGCAGGGAGTGAGGGGTTGGGGGCTGAGGAAGGCAGTAAACTCCCCCCCACCCACAGGGTCCAGCAGACTTGCCTTGGGCACCTCCCCATGCTGGATGAACAAACAGGGTATTGGCCTTATCTCAGAGCTATCTGAGGCGGGAGAAGGAACTGGGGCCCAGGAGGGACAGATTTGTCACAGCTCCCAGGCTGTGGCTGGCCTCAACGGCAGCCCTACTTTGTGGAGGGCCCTGTCTAGCAGAGCCACGCACCTCGGACCAGAGGAAAGAATGGGGTGTCCCAGCGGCCTCAGCCCAAGACTGAGTACAGACTTTGCTGGAAACAAAGGGGCTGACAGGGAGTGGGGAGGGGACTGCCAGAAAGGGGCTAGTGTCCCTACGGGGTTTTGGGCTGCAGGGCCTGGTGCCTCCACCTGAGCTTCAGGGGGGCCCAGTGTCCATCCCAGCCGGCCTTTCAAGAAACGGCTGGGCCATTGTGCAAAAGAATGCCCGGAAATCCCGAGCCTCCTGCCTCCAGCGAGAATGGGGGTTCTTCCTCCTGGTCAGGAAACTCCAAGTTGGCTTCCGGAGGGTGGCCTGGGGGCTGGGGTGCCAGGAGTACCATTCCCACTGGTAGGAGGGCAGAGCACAGCCCCTTCGTGTCCCTTCGTGTCTCTCCTGAGGGCCAGAGTAGCCCTCGGAGCCTGGGGCCATAGGCTGCTCCTGGGAGGACAGCCTGTGTGCTGGGTAGTCAGGGAACTTCCTGAAGTGGTGTCACCTGAGCTGGGCCTCAAAGGATGGGGGATGGGCAGCATCGTAGGGAGAGGAACAGCCAGTGCGAAAGTTGGGAGGTCTGGGAAGGCCAGCGGCAGGGGCAGAGTAGAGTGGGGGTCTCCAGAGTCCTTGGAAAGGCCTTTGTTCTGCCTGCTTCGCGCTGGGGCCTCAGGCCCCAGGGAGGCGGTGATCGGGTGGGCGGTGGCGCTGGGCAGGACCCTCAACGAGGCTGGAGCACCAGGACTGACCCGCACAGGTCTGCCTGGCCTCTCAGCCTGTGGGAGAGACAGTCTCAGGACTCAGAAGGGAGCCATGCAGTAAGGGTGCCGAGAAGCGGCCTGGGCTGGGCTTGGACTCCAGGGCGAGCTTCCTGGAGGAAGAGGCCGAACTGTGCTTGCCTAACCCTCGGGAAGGCGCCGCTATAGTCCCTCGCGCAGGCCTCTGCGCGGTGGTGACGGTGGGAGGCTCCCGTAGCCCTTGGCCAGGGAAGAGTGGAGCTGGCCGGAGTAGTAGGGACCATCAGGCTCGTTCGGGGATGCGGCGGGGGAAGTTGCTGCAGGCCCAGGTCATACAACTCCTGAAACGGGGAGGCTCGGACACTCAGAGAAGCGGCCCCGGAGCGCGCGCGCAGCTGCCCCAGGCCAGCCCGGAACGCGCTCCGCCGTGACTGCGACAACGGCGGGCGGGGGGCTCCGGGCGGTGGCCGGACAAGGGGCCGTGCTGCCGCCCTGCGCTCCCCCCACGCGCAGTTGTTTCCCTGTCTGCCGGAGCGCCTGTGATTGGCTGCGGACAGATGGCCCGCGCGCGGATTGGCTGCTCGGGGTCGGGGGGCCGGGACCGAGGGGCAGAGTCCGCCCCGAACCTTCAAATGGAAAGCCCCCCGGAGGCGCCCACAGACTTGAGGGCGTGCTGCAAACCCGCAGGCAGGGAGCACAGAGGGCTGTGAGCCGAGCACGCGGGCGCGGAGGCACTAGGGCCCGCGCGGGGCGCCGAGCCGCTCGGCCGAGACACCGCTGCGCCCGCCCAGAGGCCCCGGGGCCGTGGGGCGTGCGTCTCGCCTCCAGCCATGGGGTCGGCGGCGCTGGAGATCCTCGGCCTGGTGCTGTGCCTGGTGGGCTGGGTGGGCCTGATCCTGGCGTGTGGGCTGCCTATGTGGCAGGTGACTGCTTTCCTGGATCACAACATCGTGACGGCGCAGACCACTTGGAAGGGGCTGTGGATGTCGTGTGTGGTGCAGAGCACCGGGCACATGCAGTGCAAGGTGTACGACTCGGTGCTGGCACTGAGCACCGAGGTGCAGGCGGCGCGGGCGCTCACCGTGGGCGCAGTGCTGCTGGCGCTCGTCGCGCTCTTCGTGACCCTGGCAGGCGCGCAGTGCACCACCTGCGTGGCCCCCGGCCCCGGCAAGGCCCGCGTAGCCCTCACGGGCGGCGCGCTCTACGCGCTCTGCGGGCTGCTGGCGCTCGTGCCGCTCTGCTGGTTCGCCAACATCGTGGTCCGCGAGTTCTACGACCCGACCGTGCCCAGGTCGCAGAAGTACGAACTGGGCGCGGCGCTGTACGTCGGCTGGGCCGCCTCGGCGCTACTCATGTGCGGCGGCGGGCTCGTGTGCTGCGGCGCCTGGGTCTGCGCTGGCCGCCCCGACCTCAGCTTCCCCGTCAAGTATTCGGCGCCACGGCGGCCCACGGCCAGCGGTGACTACGACAAGAAGAACTATGTCTGAGGGCGCCGGGCACGCCCGCGAGCGGGAGGAACGCCAGGGGAGCCCCGCATGGACAGCGGCCTCCGCCCGGCCGCGCCGCGCACAGGCTCCGCGGAACGCCCGGCTCTACGCCCGCCGACGGGACCCTGCCCGCGCTCGCAGCCCGTCCTCTCCAACTGCCACTAGTTGGGCCTTGGGCCGCACCCTGGCCTGAACAGGAGATGCGCCCTTGGGAGGACTTGCTCGGTTTCTTTTTCTGTGCGCAGTCCTGGATCCGACGTGGGCGGGGCTCGGGTTCCTTCGGCTGTGTGGGCACTGGACTGAAGATGCCGCTTCTCTCCCCGACCCTTGGGGTCTTGGATGCCGCCGTATACCCCAGCGGCTCCTGCTGAGTCCAGAGGGGCAGACGGAGAGCCCAGGGCGCCCAGCCTGGGCTGCCCGAGGGATGTGTACAGATGGCTTTTACCCCATCAGCGGGGCCTGAGCCCAGGGGGGCCATGAGATTTGGCCTGGACCTCCCTGCCTCACCCCAGCAGCTCCCCAGGGGAGTCTTATGGGCACCAGAGCCTGAGTGTGGGGCTGGGGCCCTGCCCTCCTCTGCAGCTTGGGGGGAGGGTAAGAATTTGCTTAGTAAATAGTTTGAATACCCTCCCACCTGTGTCCTGTCCTCTGTCCAGTCACTGCCTGTGCCCAGTACCCTCCATGCATCCATCCATCCACCCACCGACTCCTCCCTGATAGGCTCCTGTGGGGACTTCCCAGAACTGGCCCCTGGGGCCCAGAAGATCCCATGGCCTTTCCTCGAGTCTTCTCTGCCACCTGGTCACCTTCCCTCTGAGTAAGAAACACAGCCACAGCTCACCCACCCAGGAAGGTGAGATCTGTAATCAGAAGACCCACTGCTGAGTCATGGAGCTGAGGGAGGTTGGGGAGGGGAGGTGATGCAGACTCCCGGCAAAGGATGCAGGTTGGACTCCTCCTTACCCCCCTGTGCATGGTGATCTTGGGGTGCAGGAAGTACTGGGGGTGGGTGCTAGGCTGCTGGCTTTGCCTAGAAGAAGCTGGGCTCCACGCACCCCAGGGGGATGTTTTCCGCCTGCCTTCTCAGGGCTCGCCTATCGCTGGGTCACATCAGATGGCCGCAGACATCTGTACAACACCAACTGGGCCCTTTCTGCCAACAGTGCATTTGAACAGGGGCGAATCCAGGGTGTGTGCTGGGCTCCAGCAGAGCTAGCTGCAGGTCGACAAGCACATTCCCATGGGGAGGAGGCACCTGTGGCCAGTTGCCCAGCGAGTGCCCGGGCTGGGCTCCAGCCCCTCTGTCCTGGCTCTTCTGCCAGCCTCGGTGCAGTTCTATGCTGGGCTTGTGCCCACCCAGCTGGCCTGGCAGCCAGCCCAGACTTGTGCCGACCATCAGCAACTCTGTGGCAGCCCCTGCCGGGAGCACCCTGTGTGACCTTCCTCCTGTGGGTGGGACCCATGAGAGCCAGGGCTGGCCCTGGCCAGGCACCTGGAGATGGGGGTCCCAGGAGGGCAGAGCACACGAGAGCTATATGTTATAGCCGAGAGCGCGATGCTTCCAACTCGAATTCTAGACACTTTGAATTAATGCATTTTTACCTTCTGCCAAAAGCCAGGGCAGAGAGAGCAGTGGACAGGAGCAGGGCTGCAGGGAGGGGCTCCAAGCCCAGCCAGTGGGAAGGCTTGGCATCTGCCCCCAACCCTGGCCTTGGGGGCCCTGTCCAGAAATGCCTGGGCCGCATCCAGCGGCAAGGAGTCTCCTGGGCCTGGCTGGGCTCCACGTTGTGGGGAAGGGGGAGAACCTGAGGACATGGGCTCAGAGGGCTCAGGGTAGCTGCTGTGAACACTGCCCTGAGACCTGGGAGCTGCAGTGGAACCAGCGAGTGGGGCTTCCAGGGAGGCTGAGCCCCCAACAATGGGATGAGCTGCAGAGGGATGGGCCTAACGGCACAGAGGTCCTCAGCAGCGCCCCCACAGCAGCCCTGCCTGGGCCTGCGCAGCAGGGACCAGAAACAGCCCCGAGCAGGGGAGTGTGAGATCTTGGCTCTTGGCGGGGCTGGAACAAGGGTCTTTACACTGCTGCTCCTGGCCGCTAGGGCCAGCCAGTGCCAGGTACAAGCGGTTTGGACAGAAGCACAGGCCCGAGGCTGCATGCTACACAAGCCCAGAGCTCTCCAATTCCTTCAGGCCCCAGGCATCAGCTGGGAGTCCCAAGGGCAGCTGCACCCCAGCTTCCACAAATGGCCAGGGCGGGCAGCTTGAGGGTCCTGGGGAGCCAGGCTGCTGCCGCCTGATCCACGCCAGGAAGGGCAGGGGCAAACTCCACCCCCAGAGGTCAGGCAAGAAGAACTGACCTCCAATGCAGCCAACCCCACTGTGCCCAATACCCCTTCCCAAGGGCCACCTGGAGACCTGGCTCCACCCACCCACGTCCTCAGTTCCAGGCCTCTTTCCAGGCTTTTCCCCACCAATTTGAAGACTGCCCAGCCCACTCTGCCTCTTCCAGCTTGCAGCCCCAGGCGCCATACCCAGGCCCATGTCCCTCCACCCTGCCTGCTTCCCCAGCACCTCCGCTCCAGGCAGTGGCCATAGACGGCCTCAGCTACTTGTGTGAACAGCTCTTTCCTCTCCTAAGGGCAGGAGTGGCATCCTCCTCGCCTCCAGATCCCCTCAACCCTCAGAGGTCCTCTGGGGACATATGGAGAGTGCAACCAGCTGATATCATGGCTCCCCTGACTGAGAACTCCTGCTGCTCTGAAGACCTCGGAGGTCGCTGAGGCCCTGCCCTGCTCAGACCTTCTGCCACCAGGGCTCAGGTGAAGCCAACCTCGGAGCCTCAGGGGCATGGTGTCTCCACCTGGGGCCCCTCAGCCAGCCCCGCTCCTCCTGGCTTAGGGCTTCACCCTTGCTATCCATGCCTGACTTGCCCAGCAGCCTGGTGGTGCCTGCAAGGGTGGAAGACGCGTGGACAGGTGGGTGCTGGAGGGTAAGATGATGGCCGTGGCAGGGCAGGCCCAAGAAGGAAGCACGGTCAAGAGGATGGACTTGAGATGCTGCTGAGGACAGGGGGACAGGGGGAAGTGGTGGGAGGGCAGACAAAGCCAGGTCCCGGTGGGCATTGCTGGGCAGTGGTCAGCACAGGTGCTGTGTGAAGGCCCAGGTGTTGAGGGGCCCAGCCCTCGCCCACTGCTGTCCAGGGATGTGGAGGCCACCCCCTGTGCTGATTTCCTGCTGGGCCTCGAGGGAGCCCAAGGCACAGGCTCAAGGCTCCTCTGGACCTACAGAAGGCTCAGGGTACAAGCAAGCGCTGGCCCTGTGACCAGAGCCGAGATGGGGGCACTGAGCCTAAAGTAAGCATTTTATTCCGTTAAAAACCAACCATCGCTGCATCTAAAACTATGTCCATAACTTACAATAGAAATAAAAGCCAGTTAATATAAATAAGGAGAAGGAGATCATTTCTGAAGAAATCAAACTGGAAAAGAAAAAAAGAAAAATATGTAAATTTCAAATCATTCTGATGTCTCCCCAAATTAAGCAGACTGCCCAGGCCTTCCCTCTGACATGCTGGCTGCTGCTTCTGAGCAGCCTCCACCACTCATGGGGCAAGCAGCAGGTGTCCACAGGCGGAGGGCCACCCCAGAACCGCTGAGGCGCCTGCTGTCTTCACTGCACCCCCCGGCCAGGGCCAGGCTGTTTTCTGCTTGAGAATCCCCGAAGGCCTCACAGCCCCCAGCACCTTCTCACCTTGCAGACCCCGCCCAGCGACTTGTCCAGCCTGGACCCCATGGTGCCCTCACAGGGTATCTCCCCGCAGCCCCCAGCACACAGCTCCTTGCCCTTCCCAGCTGGCCCCCCGCACTCTGTCTTGGTGGCAGGACACACAGCAGCACTGGCATCACCACCGAGCAGGCTGCAGGGAAGGGGTACACCTCAGCCTGCACCCGAAGGCCCTGTACTCGGCACTTGTGTCCAAGGGGTGTCAGCCCCACTTCAGATGAGGAAGCAGGTACAGCCTGGTGAGGTACCCAACAGACCTTGCTGAAGACCCAAAGGGCTGACCCCAGAGCCCCTCCTCACATGGGCCCTGTGTGCCCCAGCCCACCCTGAGAGGGGCCATGGGGTCCCTGAGGCCCCCATGCCGTTCTCATAAGAGCCCACTCGGGCATCGACAGGGGAATGGGTGCCTGCCTCCCACAGCTTCCAGTTCACTGTGGAGGTGGGGAGCAGGAGGACCCTGGGCCGGCACGAGGGGACCCCCTATGTCAGAGTCTTGACAGGGCCCGTCTGCCGCAGCAGTGGCTCCAGCCCCGGGCTCAGGGAGATGCAGGGCTGGGCATGGGCATCCACTGTGTGAGGCGCCCTGGGCTGAGAAGGGGTCACTAGACACAGATCAGGCCCTCTGGCCCATTTCCCAGGGGCCTTCAAGAAGGAGGTGGCTGTGGGTACTGGGGAGCACCCTGGCTGCTGCACTCACAGTGGACTGGCAGCGAACACTACATGCTGGTGCAGGCCCGCGCAGCGCTGACATTTTATAATTCTCAGCTGAGGGGCTGCCAACAGCTTTGCTTTCTCAAAAGTCAAGCACACGAGAGCCAAGACAGACGCCTCCGTGGGCCCCAGCCCAGGGCCTGATGTGAGGCTGTGAGCGGTGGCAAGGCTTCAGGTGGTCCCCCCAGGGGTGGCCCTTGTTCCCAGCAGTGCCAGGAGGCCTGCATGTCATTCGCCAACACCCAGGCTGTGGTGTGGTCAGAAGAGGGTAAACGCTGGCTTTTTCTGAAGGGATCCCAAGAGCTTAATGAAATTAGCTCCCTCAAAAACGCCCCATTGTGGCATGGCCGCCAGGCCAGGGACAGACATCCTTGGGAAAAATGTGTTGGCCCCAAATCTCCTCACGACCCCCGCTCTGAGGAGCTCTGAAACCCAAGTAGAAACCTAGCTCGAAGAGGAAAAAAGCAGGGAAATCAAAACAGGGATGAGGGAGGGGCCCTCTGTACACTAACAGGGCCGCTGCGGGCCTCCTCTGAGGTCCCCAGTGAAGGCCAGCACCCGCCCCCCAACTCACCCTCAGGACAGGAGGGAAACAAGCGCATCCAGAAACTTGCTCCGATCCTCTGCTTTCAGCTCAATTACTGAAGTAATGAAAGAAAAACATCTTGTGAGATGGGAGGACTAGGGACGGGAGTGAGGGAGAAGTGAGAAAAACAAGTCAAGGCATATTAACTCCCTCTTCTTGACCATCCAAGACTGGAACAACCCTCCAGCACATTCCAAAATGGACTCAGCTCCTCAATGGCCTGGAATGTTGGAGTAATTCTCCGTTCCTCTGTATTCGATCCTCAGAAACTGCTGGCTGCCCTGTCGGTGACGCTGGGGCTGTGGTCTGTGGGGAAGACCCTCCGGAGGGGACTTGGGGCATGTGACAACTCAGAACACCACAGACCTGGGCAAAGACGGGCCTTCCCACCCTGTTGGATACAGCCCTGTCCCATGGTGGGTTGTGGGAGGCCCTGAGGTAGGGCAGGAGGCCAGCCTTCAGTCTTGCCCTGGCCAATCTCTCAGCTTCAGTATCCTCTTCTGTAGAAGGGGCACATGATGCAAACTTCCCCTGTCTCTGGGGGGCCATC